ACTAGACTTTCATGCGTGATAAGTAAAAAAAAATGAACCCCTTTGATGGGTGATATCATTTCTACAAGATATTAAGTAGCATCTTCTTTATTCTTACCAACTTCAATTTTCCAAACAATTATATGGTGTTATGGTAATGTCGAGGGAAGAGAGATCTCCATAATCTTAATAATAATCTTACTACGGATCTATAATTTTTGGTTTCTGGATGATTATTGTTAGAAAAATGCCCTAACGACTACATTTGTAAACGTCCCATTTCATAGATAAATTACGAAACATTTTTATTCATGGCTAATGACAGCGTTCCCTGTGCAAGGCCCTTGACTTGTTTCTATTCAAACGCATAGCTACTGTAGCGCATTGGACTCCAAAGGTAAAATGTTACAGACCTTTGTCACTCGCATTCAATAATTAACCTTTGATCTAAACAGTAATATTGCGCCACAAAACATACACCGGCTTCTGTATCTCAAAATATTTAAGCAAAAGTATTACAAGCACATCCTATCCAAAGGAAATTTTTATACGATTTAAAAATATATAGACAATAACGCAATCTATCTACTGTTTAAATTATACGAATTTTAAGGCTGTTACTTAAAAGTGGGTATGTTTTGAAAAGATTTGCTAAAAATAGCAATTACATCTGAATTCTAATCAGCTACACTCAATATTTGAAACTATATAACCAAATATCTTCTAATTTCAATAACATTTTAAAATAATATCAATTACACTTTTAAACCCCCTCATGGGGACGGCATCTATCGGCGATATATTAAAACAGCGCCATCTGTTAGGTAGTGTTATATCCATATCAATAAATATAATTGGCAACGCGTGTATAGGGCATACTCAACTGTCATGCCTTGTGAGACCTTATGACAGATATTTAAATATTTCTTGAAATCTTTTTGAAATGTTATAGTACGTTTATATATATGAGGGTTAACCCACTGGGTTTGGATTTAAATTGTCATATCCATTATTTTTACTTCAAATAAATCCTCTCAAAGTAGGTTAACCCTACAAAAAGTTCTAACGTAAACATGGCATTAAACAAAAACATTCCTGTTGGGATTAATATAAAAAATATATATAAAATCATTACTGATTTCGTAAAATAGTATCCCTTTTTTTCTTAACAGCTTTCATATCTCGCACTTTCCGAGTGAAGAAGTTCGCCCATTTCAGTAGAAAGTAAAATGTATTAAATAATAAAAAGAAAATGAGTTACTAAGAACAATTTGCGAGTGATAATGTTTATCATAAGCTCAAATGTATGGGTCCTAGTACGCATTGCAGATATGAACAAATAATTTGCAAATTATAAATTCAGGCATATTGATATATAGCAAATTCCTTTATAAAATGTTAACTAATAAGGAAATTGTTCACAATCGTAAAAGAAGAATTTTTACAAAACTAATGTACTTACCACTAGAAGAAGAAACAGCAATATGACATTCATTCTGTATGTTATTGGAAAAATAAAGCGGCTTCCGTTAAAATTAAAATTGTATCCATTGCATTTTGGAAATACAGATGCAAGTTGAATCTGTAACATAAAACAATATATGTATATTAAATTTGTATGACATAGCTACTAAACAAATCCTTACTTTGGTCTATGCACAACTGAGGCGTGATATATTTTCCTAGTTCCAAATTGGAAGATTTCTTAAGTTCTGATCTATTTGGTTTGGAAGATACTTTCATGTTCACTTTTTTATTAACACGTCTATGAATGACAAATATCCATTGCATTCGTTTGGAACACAGTGTAAAACTAAAAGCCTCAAAGGGACTTCGAAATTATTAATGACTATCTCTGTCTTAGGGTAATGTCTTTTTGTTTCGGAGTATTGTCTGATCTTCCGACGGCGCTTAAAATGTCTGCTATATCAATAACATTAAAATATATTTAACGTTGTTACATAAAATATCAAACTTACCTTGAAGTACTGTTCTATAGCTTCACAATTTGTTTTAAGGCGTCTTTTCATCTTGAAAATACTTCCAGTGTGATATGGATCAGTTATAAACATGTGGGGTTATTTTGATAGGTCCGATGTTTTTCGCCTTCAAATGAATATTTTGGTCTCAATTTAAATCCGTATTTTGGCAGAATATTTCAAGAAAAATTTAGCTTTTGTTTTCCCAGACAGTGAGCAAATCATAGTCTAATTAACGTTGCTTGTCTTTAACTTTCAAAGGGCGATCCATTATCTTTAGTATTCAGCTTGAATAAAATAGCTTTCTTGGGAATTTCCGTGAATATCTTAACTTTTGGCGCCAAAATGCTATTAACTTTTGCAAACTCCAACAAAGTTGACATATATTTTGCATGCGTGCGTATTCTTCTTCATGTGAATCTCTTCCAGATAGATTTTATTTTCCGTATAATATTCACTTGAATTTCCATACCTATGTCCTTTTTTATACAACTTTCCATCGGTGGACCACATTTTTCGCATTGCAACTTACATAAAAACACAGCTTTCTTATTATTTTTCCAATTTAATTGCAAATAAAATCATACACTGTTGCTTCTTTTTTTAATTTGACTTGACTGATGTTGTTCCTTTAAAAGCTCTCAAATAACGGAAGAGAGCGATAACAAAACAAACTGCAATTGCCCTCTATCGATTTGTATGCTTCTTCATGCATGGCATTCAATTTAATTGATAGCACCAAAGGAATTTAAATAATTTGATGAACCTTTCTCCTTTTTGACTCTTAAAATTTGTGATATTATACATTTTTGGGGGAGATCATTATTTAAAAATGACAATTTTTCCATTTCTTGCAAATTGTATAAGTTTTTGGCCCTTTTATCAAAGAAAAGAACTTTGACATTCAAAGCTGAATTGATATCATCGAAAGGTGAATGAGAGAAACACAGCTGATGAAAACAATATCCACCAAAAATAAAAAAAATTAAGAAATGTTAAAATATTAACAAAACTCTTGGACCAATGAATAGGATTATTTAATGGGAAATCCACAAATATAAAACTTAAACTACACATCCCTGTAGGAGGAAAGGAAAATGCCGATAAAAAAAATAAGATAAGGGGTTTTGAACGAAACCAAAATAATAACAAAAGGGAGAAGAAATGTCAAAACACAAATGTCAAAAAATGTCAAAACACAAAAACACAAATAATTTGCAAATTATAAATTCAGGCATATTGATATATAGCAAATTCCTTTATAAAATGTTAACTAATAAGGAAATTGTTCACAATCGTAAAAGAAGAATTTTTACAAAACTAATGTACTTACCACTAGAAGAAGAAACAGCAATATGACATTCATTCTGTATGTTATTGGAAAAATAAAGCGGCTTCCGTTAAAATTAAAATTGTATCCATTGCATTTTGGAAATACAGATGCAAGTTGAATCTGTAACATAAAACAATATATGTATATTAAATTTGTATGACATAGCTACTAAACAAATCCTTACTTTGGTCTATGCACAACTGAGGCGTGATATATTTTCCTAGTTCCAAATTGGAAGATTTCTTAAGTTCTGATCTATTTGGTTTGGAAGATACTTTCATGTTCACTTTTTTATTAACACGTCTATGAATGACAAATATCCATTGCATTCGTTTGGAACACAGTGTAAAACTAAAAGCCTCAAAGGGACTTCGAAATTATTAATGACTATCTCTGTCTTAGGGTAATGTCTTTTTGTTTCGGAGTATTGTCTGATCTTCCGACGGCGCTTAAAATGTCTGCTATATCAATAACATTAAAATATATTTAACGTTGTTACATAAAATATCAAACTTACCTTGAAGTACTGTTCTATAGCTTCACAATTTGTTTTAAGGCGTCTTTTCATCTTGAAAATACTTCCAGTGTGATATGGATCAGTTATAAACATGTGGGGTTATTTTGATAGGTCCGATGTTTTTCGCCTTCAAATGAATATTTTGGTCTCAATTTAAATCCGTATTTTGGCAGAATATTTCAAGAAAAATTTAGCTTTTGTTTTCCCAGACAGTGAGCAAATCATAGTCTAATTAACGTTGCTTGTCTTTAACTTTCAAAGGGCGATCCATTATCTTTAGTATTCAGCTTGAATAAAATAGCTTTCTTGGGAATTTCCGTGAATATCTTAACTTTTGGCGCCAAAATGCTATTAACTTTTGCAAACTCCAACAAAGTTGACATATATTTTGCATGCGTGCGTATTCTTCTTCATGTGAATCTCTTCCAGATAGATTTTATTTTCCGTATAATATTCACTTGAATTTCCATACCTATGTCCTTTTTTATACAACTTTCCATCGGTGGACCACATTTTTCGCATTGCAACTTACATAAAAACACAGCTTTCTTATTATTTTTCCAATTTAATTGCAAATAAAATCATACACTGTTGCTTCTTTTTTTAATTTGACTTGACTGATGTTGTTCCTTTAAAAGCTCTCAAATAACGGAAGAGAGCGATAACAAAACAAACTGCAATTGCCCTCTATCGATTTGTATGCTTCTTCATGCATGGCATTCAATTTAATTGATAGCACCAAAGGAATTTAAATAATTTGATGAACCTTTCTCCTTTTTGACTCTTAAAATTTGTGATATTATACATTTTTGGGGGAGATCATTATTTAAAAATGACAATTTTTCCATTTCTTGCAAATTGTATAAGTTTTTGGCCCTTTTATCAAAGAAAAGAACTTTGACATTCAAAGCTGAATTGATATCATCGAAAGGTGAATGAGAGAAACACAGCTGATGAAAACAATATCCACCAAAAATAAAAAAAATTAAGAAATGTTAAAATATTAACAAAACTCTTGGACCAATGAATAGGATTATTTAATGGGAAATCCACAAATATAAAACTTAAACTACACATCCCTGTAGGAGGAAAGGAAAATGCCGATAAAAAAAATAAGATAAGGGGTTTTGAACGAAACCAAAATAATAACAAAAGGGAGAAGAAATGTCAAAACACAAATATTAGCAAAAACCTGACATTTAAAACAGAGATTTTTTACGGAGAAAGATAGAGGCAGCAAAAGGAAGCAGCTCCCAAATATTTTAAAAACAATCATATTAAGCAAATATAATATAAACATATTGTTGTTAAGCTAAATCTCCAGCAAAAGGACATTACGCAGATAATAAATTTTTAGTGAACTGTGTGCAAAATATTGCTAGAATTGGAAAATTTTCTTTCATTAAATGATGGACAAACACACACATATATTTTGACGATATACTACAAAAGAATTACGTGAGTGCGCACACCACCAACAAGCAAACGAACGGCAAGTTGTAATTGGGCAGTAGGAAAAGAAAACTATCGTCGAAACCCTGTTCACTATTGCTTCCCATTGGCAGCGAAAAGATTATCCCAAACCCATAAAGGCAGGCTGAACGGTATTTCAGGGCAATCATAACCGAGAAAACACCGATTGCCGAAGCGAAATACATATATATGTGCTATTCCCCCCAACTTGCGATTCAACAAAAAGAATCTCATTGTAAAACAAGTGTAGCAGCAGCAGCAGCTGTAATTTAGGGGAGTTGTGTCTGGTGTAATGTTGCTGTTGTATAAGTGCATTTGTTTGTGGATGTGCTAATTTATCTTCCTCATCAAATGCAAAAGGTCTCACAGATGGCTGTCCAGTACATATAGGCCGAACTTGGGGATTAAGTACTACGACCGATCGGCCGACAACGACAAGTGGCAGCAACAGCAAAAGGTTACAACAAGAAGAACCAAAAACCGCACCCTTTGCACTTGCTACTGCCTTTAACGTAGCAGTGCAGGATAGACGTTATGACTTCGCCTCTACATCAATTGGATATATTTGAACTAAGGCCACTGATAACAAATTTCAATTGTAAATTATCAACCATTACCGAATATGATTGCCACAAACAGATGTTGTGTTTGGTCTCAGAGGACAATGACATTGTTCTGCGCTATACAAGTGAGGGTGGTCAGGAAGTCTTAAAGCTGGTTTCATGGTTTCGGCGCACCAATAGGGTCATACATGATATATGTTTTGATCCATCTGGAACATGGTTACTTGTGTTATGTAAGTTTGATAATTTCCTGAAAAAAAAACAGAAATAATTTTAGGCTTTTCTCTTGCAGGTTTCGACAACACCCTACACATTGTCCCTGCCTTGGCGGTGGTGGACAAAGCAACCTTGGAGGCAAATGCCAAAAATTCTGTTTACCCTTCCCTGTACAGCACCACACAAGTGACATCATACATAATACCATTTGTTGGACCACATGAGTGCCCCAACTCAAAGAAATGTCCCAACAAGCTAACATCAAAACGCAATTCTGGCCTTGGTTCTGCCGCCGCCTCAGCGCTTAGGAATGAGGAAAAGCCTCATACGTCAAAAGAACAACCATCAAATAATGAGGCTGGAGATGATGAAAATAATAAAAATGTAAATGTTTTGGTTGAGCAAGTGGACGGTTTGCAGCTGGAAGACAAAGCTGAAGAAGACGATTCGTTGGTAGTGGTCCAGGTAGATGGGAACATTGATGTTTTCAGTCAAGATGTACCTGCAGAAATGTTGGCCTCATCGGCCCCACAAAATCTCATGGTTGATGACAAGACCGGCAACAGTCAATTGCCAGCAATGAATATGTCCTTTATGGCCTCCAACACTTGTCCATATCCCTTGTCAGTGGTGTGGTGGCGTACATTGGAGGGTGTCAATCGGGCCGTAATCGGTTACTCAGATGGTTCAATATGTTTTGTGGGTCTTAGTCCAAATTGTCCATTTGTGGCTAGCACCTCTGTGGAAAGTGGTTCAGTGGTGAAATTGCTCATATGCCGGGATAACACCTTTGATAGTGTAATGTTATTGGTAAGTGTGGGTGTGTGTTAAAATGATGTTTACTTTATACCCGTTTTTATTTTCTTTAGATAACATCCTCGTTGAAACAACAATTCAAATTACTCTTGGAACAAAAGGCCATTGAATACACCTATCCGGGAGAAATATCTCCCACGACAACAACAACCCAAACCAAAGAAAAAGATGACTGGCAAATTGTTTTACCTCTCAAAAATACCAGCAGCAACAATAGCAGTAAAGAATCATCATGTGAACGTAACAGTCAATCCGATGAGGATGTATTTCTTCTTAAAGAGGAGACGACATCATCGGGTGCTGCAAATGTGAATGCAAAAGACATTAACCTGCCGCCTCAAATCCAACATGTAGCACAAATTAATAGCGCACGTCCGGGAGGAGAACCACCTCCACCGCCCCCACCCAAATTGACATCTTCCGGTAATGCACAAAGCATGGCTGGCCTTGAAACCAACGGAAATAATCCTCAACCTCCGCCACCACCATATTCTGTGGCCATTACCCGTCATTTGGATAATAAAGATGCCGCCATAACTACAACGGCTTCAATGGGAAGTAGCGTAGTAATCCCCAGCTCAAGTGATCGCAATAATCAATCGCAACAAATGGATAGTGAATCGGAGTTTGAGAAAAATATAAGAGGTGGTTATATACCGGCAGCCAGAGCTCGTTTGGCATCTCTCAAGTCGTTGGGATCGAAAAAGTTAAATGCCATTAAAATGCGTCTTTCCGATAAACGGCAAAAGATCGAGGAATGTAAGTATTATACATGAAGGATTCGTATAATTTACAAACTTAATTTTCGTCATAGAATTCTCTTAGTAGATCTGACCTTTGTTTTGGCTACTAATGCAGATATCTTTAGGGAGACTATTATAAGGAATTCGTAACAGGCTGTTGAAAAATCTTTAGATAAATGCAAACTAGCCTCTATAGAAGCCTGTAAGAAAACCTGATATGCTCCTGCAAAGATATCTCTATCAGTTGCCACCTTTTAGGATGAATATATATGCAGGCAACATTTAGGCAGTTTTTAGAAACTCAATTATTTCAACATCTTGAAAGAAAGCAAATCATATAACGCTGATGTAACAATTTTGTTTATTTCTGTTTTATTATTCTATATTCTTTTTTCGTGTACTTCGTGAACTATTAGATCTACGATGTATTGTGATTTTAATATACAGATTGAATACGAAGAGTGGTGAGTTTTCATTGCATTCATACTACACTTCGTTTGAGCATTGAAACTTTCCACAAAATCAAAACAAAACCAAGACAAAGCGCCACATCACAACATCGCTAAATTGCTTCCATAAGCAATAATAGATTGTTACATTAGTTGAGGAGATAAAACCAGACAACCACACACTCAAGCATAACTAGATAGTGAAAAAAGGCTTTATTTATTTTATTTATTTTTTCGTTTGCATTTGGCTAGCATTTATGTTTAAGTTGCTGTATTTATCATTTCTATATATTTTTCAGACATGCCAGACAATTCACTGGGCTCTTCGTTTGCCATTGTGGACTCACCCTCGTTGACACCAGAATTACTGGCCAATTCGGCTGGTTCCTTTTATACCATCCAAAATTTACGCAGTACATATTTGTTGAGTGCTTTGCATAGCCAGTCGAATAGCTTTACCGTACACAATATCGATATACATTTAAAGCCATTGTTTCTTTATAAAATACCACGGGATTGTGTGGATATTTTGATTAGTTCCAATATTTTATATACCATACAATATGTGGATTATTATGGAGAGGCATTGGCAACGCCACCATTGGTGGCTGGGAGTAAAACAAAACAACCACAGCCACAAGAGCAAAAGAATCAAAATACCGAAAAGGAAAATCGTGATATGGATGTTGAAAAACATGAAAAATATGCTGAAGAAATTGCTGCTGTCATGGAAGATTTAAATGATGGCGATGAAGCATCAGGCCAGCATGCTGCCGTGAAAAGGGATACTAGCCAGGAAGAAAGTGCAGCGGACACAAGTGCCGCCTCCACAACTTCAGAGCACTATAGCCAAGACAGTTTGACGCCAAGTAATTCTATAAATGCTGTTGGTGTTATAAGCAGTGCTATGGCTTCTCTGCGCAAGGGAGATGAGGATGTGAGTTAATATATATTTTTTTTAAGCAATATGAAATTGAAATTCTTTTTTCTTTTAGAAATTCAATACATTTTCCCAACTGGGCCTATTTCGCTTTGAACACGAAACTGTTTTGAGCCTCTATCAAATGGCAACTTTCCGTCCAACCACAACTACCGAAACCATATCAAAAGATGAAAAAACCAAAGTATTTGAATGCAGTGATATACGTTCGCCCATGGACTATGTTAAGTTTTATGAGACAGCTGATGTCAAGGAGGAGTTGTCACTGCGCCAAATGGAAATAATGGCGAATGAATTTCCAAAAATTAATTTCGATCCATGCTATGTTGTGACGAACAAAAATGTCTACTACATACAGCTGAAGTAAGTGAAGGGAATTATGCGAACTATTTTCTCTTAACCCCTAGGAGTAATACGTCACCGGATAGCACATACCTAATTTAGATCTACCGATCAAATTGAAAACGAATCCTAAGTTTAGGAGCAGAGATAGACAGCCCGGTCTGCCGGCTAGACAGCAATTCTAGAGACAGAAATATAATAACAAATTTTGAGCAAGAAAATTCATATTGAGTTTCCAATACAAAGTCACTACTATGGGTGAATACAATATGCTGATCTAACACCCGAATAGTGTCCAATTTGTTCATTTTTTGTCCAGATCTTCTGGAATTTATGAGAAGACCCTCTGGCCTTCAATAGAAGACCTTCTTGTCTTCTATGATATGACCTTCAATGGGGAGAACCTTCTGGTCTTCTATGAGAAGGACATTTGCTCATTTGTGAGTAGACCTTCTAGTCTTCTATGAGTAGACATTCTGGTCTTCTATGAGTAGACCTTCTGGTCTTCTATGAGTAGACCTTCTAGTCTTCTATGAGTAGACCTTCTGGTCTTCCAAGAAAACATTCTTCTCGTCTTCTGCGAGTCTACCCAATTTTCTTCTTTGATCACTCCAGCCCCTAACCAACAATTGCAATCAATTTTATTTTATTTCAAAAATTCTCATTCCATCTTTTATTTATTTTTATTCTACAGAAAAGAACCTTTTGCCACATTTTTGGAATGTGCTTTGGCCGGTGAGTGGACACAGTGTCGTGATTTCTGCAACACCTTCGATTTGACCTACGAGGCTTGTATTGAATTCGCCGGTGATTATCTGTTGCGTCGTAAAAAAGTAACACAGGCATTGCTCACCTATAATACGGCACGCATAAAACCCATTCGAACTGCCCTCAAACTGGCAATGTTTGGACAAACCAATGCCTTGATGCATCTGTGTGCCATGGCTCTGAAATTGACACATGTGCTCAAATCGAAATATTTTTGTCATCCCATAATAAAAACACTGATGCCCGACATTACATACCGTCATTCGGAAAATGTCGAACCCATCCTACCGCCTACACCATCACAATATGCGGCTGAGGGTGTGCGGGTAAATGAAGGTCTGGCGTGTAGTGACTACATTTACGGTGTTGATGAGCCCATGAGTCAATTACAAATGTCAGCCTCATCCCAATTTCATTTGGCTAATTTGTTGCTCATCACCCTGGCTGAGAAGGCGGTCAACGATAAGAACTATATACCATTGTGGTATGTATGAGATGACATCAACACCTATGATAGTCACTCATTTGTGCATATTTTTTGTTTTTAGGAATTTCCTGGTAACCAATGGCAAATATCATACAAACATGACCAGTATTGTTTTGTGTCAAAGTGGTCTGTTTTCGGCAGCTTTATTATTGGCCAAAGTCCGGGGTGTTTGCATTGATACATTTTTGGCTTTGAACAGTGTTGTTGGCCAGGAATTTGGTAAGTAAGCAATATTTGTATGTGAATAATTTTATTATTTTCAATTTCCAATTATAGGTTGGTATTCGGAGGTCAATGTTTGTCTGTACAATTTGAGTGAGATCATGTTCACGGAAACCATTACTTATTTGCCTAATGTGGCTATCGATTATTTTACCTTCATACAAGATAAGCTGCAAAACATAAGGCCAAGTGTTTTAAGGGTAAGTTTAGCAACGAATTTCATATGCCTGCCAAATGAAAATACTTGTAGAAAACTTCTAGGTGAAAATGACTACCTGAAGAATTTCCATTACGTTATATCAAAATTTTCAATAATTTTAAGATTTTTTGAAATCCGTCCTTAACTAGAAGGAATTCTAAACGTTTTTCAATTTTTATTCTGAAAATAACTTTTAATCCAATTACTTTCTGTTTAAAATTGCAGCGCCTGGAACAACAACTCAATCCATTTTCACCCACCATGCGGCCCATTGTTTCACACACCTCATCCATTTCAAATTCAAACGACAATAATACATATTTACTGGAATTTTGTAAAAATCTCATAGAAACCTATTTAGCTGTACTCATACATTTGGAATCTCAACGTTCCAAGACGGATCGCGTTTTGAATGCTTTAAATAACTTCCGTTTAACATATGAAGACAATCAATTTGCCATCGAAGCGACACGTTTTAAACCAATATCGGCCGGATGTGCCCATTGTGCCTGTGTTGTGGATGGTGTTGCCTACTTTTGGGGCACTAATGGTGTGCCTTGCAACTATAGCGTAAGCAAGTCATCGGGTAAGCGGGGGAAAATTTGGAAAATAATAAATTTGTTTGAGAGATCATTTCTGTCTTTATTCACTAGACTCTCCTGAACCTCCATATGCTGTGAAAAGTATGGATTTGCTTTCCCAATTAAATTTGCATGTCCATGCTGTCAAATGCGGAAGGCAGCATACGCTGATTCTAACCAATAATGGGGTAAGTTTTTTAAGGCAACATTTACTTGTTTTCCTTCTAATTTAGATATTCTTTACAGCTCTACTCCTTGGGCAATAATAATCTATGCCAATTGGGTATTGGAAAACACATGCAAATGACTTTACAACCCATGCTGGTAAAAGCTTTCGATGGCAAGAATATAACTATTTTAGAAGCAGGACAATATCATAATGCTGTGGTAGCTGATGGTATGCTATATACCTGGGGGTAAGTATTTGAATTTGATTTCTAAATTTAAGATGTAATAAAAATTTAATAATTTCTAAACAGTTGGGGTGTTTATGGTCAACTAGGTCATGGTGATACTGAAAATGCAGCTGAACCCAAATTGGTTTCATTTTTCAAATATAAGGTAGATTAGAGATAAAAATATTATAATAACATAATCTCTACATTAATTATTTATTTTTCTAGAAAATATTGCAAGTCTCATTGGGACATGCTCATACATTGGTGCTATGTGAGGGTCCAAGAGATCGTAACACTACCGAACTTTATGTTTTTGGTTCAAACAATTTCGGTCAATTAGGTTTGGCAACCACAAAACCGGATGGGGAACAACAAGGCACAGCCGCTGCATCAAGTGATGATGGCATTAATTATAGTGGTCAGGTGAAGTATGTGTTGCCGCAGAGACTGGAAATTCCTGGCGCAGCTAGAATAAGACTGATTCATACGAAATTTTTCACTAATGTAAGTAGGGATGTCCCGGCTTTATTTTATGGAATGGAATTAAAATAATTTTTTCAGTTGGTTGTTGATGAAAACGAGCACATGTATACCTGGGGCTCCTCACCCCAGGCACTGCGTCTGGCCAATCAAATAAAACGTCGAGCAAATGCCAAACAGAAAAATGAAGAGGCCCAACGTCGTGAGATGAGCAAACGTTTTGAGGCAACTCTAAGTGAAAATGTGGCGGTGACAACGGTAGAAGCCGATATAAATGTGACGCCAGTGCCCACCGTTGATGCCCCATTGGTGGCAGCAACTGCCACAACGCCAAGTGTAACCTTAACTTCGCCAATTTCGGAAAAGCCCCTTGTAAGCAGTGATGCCGATATTAGCATAGTAAAAGATAAAATCCCACTTATTAGTGGGGACGATGAAATTGTCATTGATAACACGCCGGTTATACCAGCAGCAGCAGCAGCAGCAGCAGCGTCATCGACTACTGTTGTAGATGCTCCTGTTGCCGATATAAATATACAATTGATAGAGGATGAAATTGTGGCTGATATACCGGTTGTCAAGACCACACACAGTAATGCTCAGGAAAAAGCCGAAATCCAAAGTGAGGCAACCGTTGTGCCACCAACTGCTGCCATAATTGATGTGGATCCTTGCGAGCATATGACTCCGCATCTGGTGGACACTTCCGAGGTGGCAGGACAAATTTTGCAGGTAGGAGCGTTTTGTATTTTTCTTTAAGATCAATTAATAATTTGGCTTTATTTTCTTAGGTTTCAAGTGGCCTATTCCACTTTGCCTTGATCTCTTCTTCATGTACCCTCTATACATGGGGTAAAAATTTGGAACATCAATTGGGTACCGAGGATAAGGAACGACGTGCTGTAAGCAAACCCTCACCCATTGATAGTATTGATCGTCCCATGTATGTGGATTGTGGAGCCGATTTTACTCTAGTCATGACAACAGATTTTGTTGTCAAAGCATTTGGCGGTAATTCGAATGGACAGGTGGGTAATCGTTTTAAAAGGAATTTATTTAATTACATGTCCTTTAGGACAAGAAACTCCTCACACGCACAACGAAGATTTACACAATTAATTTTGAAATCTAAAATTTAGTTTATTATTCAAATTTCTTCCCCTTTTCTATTATCCTTCTAGTGTGGTCGTGATTTGGGTGCATGTATAGACAATAAAATGAAACAACGGGTAGTGTGTTTGCCCACCACCAAGCGTCTAATGCGCTTCGAAAGCCAGTGTGTTGAAGTTCCCGTAGAAATTAACTTACCACGTCCTCGCATTCGATTGGATTATGAGCCAGTTCGATATCTAAAGACAATACCACGCTACAAATGCTACTTCCTGCAAGAGGCTGAAATTGATTTTGAGCAATGCTATGACATGGCATCGAGTTCAGCCAATCAAATAACCGGACAGGAATCGGATGATATGATCTCTTCACTGGAAAATATTAGTCAAAATGAAATCTCTTCGCTGCAGGCATCACCCAATATGCCCCTACTGGCCAATGATCAACTTTTGGATCCAAATCAATTAACAGCTAATAGTTCGTATGAATGTTCGCCGGATGAGCAAAGTTATTGTAGGCTACCAAATGCCTGCAATATGTCGACTAGTGTCACAGACAATGGCAACAGTCTTGGTGGTTTAGTGAATCCTAAAACTCAAAATCCCTTGGAAAATCAGGCATTGAAAAATAACAATAACTCAGAAGATAGTGAGGAGCTTCAGCAGTTGTGTCATTATATCCATTATTGTTTGTACATCTTCCATGGCCTTTATAATCCCGAAAAAGTCAGAGAATTTTCCAAAGATCGCCTAGAATATCGCATACGTACTCTAATGTTAAATTTCAAATATGTTGATGCCTTTGAACTATGTTTGCGTAGCGTACACAATGCCAGTTGTGCCCTTAAAATCTTCGAATATTTCTCCAAGGATACCGGTTACGTGCCACTGCGCAGAGCTGACCTTAGATTTCTGATATACTATCTGATGCAACATTTTATGGAACGCAATTATGACTTGACGCTGTGTGAGAATTTCTTTTTGGCCGATTTAGATTATTATCTGCTGGAATTGGCCTATGTATTGTATTTCAATAATAACAATACTGAGTTGGAGCAAAATCTCAATGAGAAATTTAAGAATCTCATTGCACGCAGCGAAGATGTCGGTAATAATCAACAGCAAAATATTCAACATCATTTGCAGCAACAACAGACAATGGCTGGGGCACCAGAAGCCGATGTACATCTTGCCACACATAAACTTCAGGATACCGATGTGATATTTGAGTTATTAAGTGTGAAATTCAAAACTATTATTTGCCAGCGCCTTTTAAAGTTTTGCAATACATAATCAAGCAGACGGTCAGACGAAGTATGTGTGGGGGGACGATGACGACGACGAGACACACCTATTATCATTATTCTATTGTTTTTTAAGATAAAGCCCAAATTGATCTTTTTTTTGCAGCAGTCCTAAAAAATGGGACACTCAATTTTTACAAATATCGTATTGTTCTTAAATTATTTTAGTTCAAACAGAAGTTTTAATTGAAATTGTTTTTATGATTTTTTTCTGTTCGTGTTTGTCTCTATTATAATTTGTAGTTTCATTCTTTTTTAATAACTGTATATTTATTTTAACTATTCATCTTTCTTCTTAAACAAAACAACCTACCATATTTTTTATCCACAACACACACACATCCTTATATAAACATATTAATTTATTATTGTTATTTTGTTGTAGTTTTTCTTTTTTAAATTCATATATATGTACCCAATATTTTATGTGAAATTAAGAGTGTTTATTAATTTGACATTTTAAAAAGAAATTGTGAATTTTTATTGTTACAATTTTGGGAAATTTAAAAATACTTCCCCTTAACGTTGTCTTCTTTAGGAAACGGGAATTTTAAAAGCAATGAGAATCTGTTTTGAATTTAAATCCCTGAGTTTTATAAAACAGCAGGAGGGGTATGAGTGTGTGTGTAAAAACTGACAATTCGTGCCATCCCATGAGTTATGGGGTTTCGTTTCTGGGCATGGCCCTGGGCAGAGGGGCATGGCGCTGGCTAAGCAAATTGATTTTGTACAGTGAGTAAGGATGCACCCACCAGAATAAGGGGAGATTTATGCGTGAGTTATTTTAACCGGCAATTTAATGCCGATTACGATCTCTTTGCAGCCGAGGAGGAACCTCAGCAATTTAAAATGGAAACACAACAGGGTACCTCCTCATGGCATCTATCGACCATCAACATGAGATAGCGAATATCTTACCAATACGACAGCATAAAAAATGCTAAATAATGTAGCTGCGTGGTTGTTAAAAACAGAGACATCCCAATCAACATCTGGTGGATAAGCAACCTCCGCCCAGGCATGCAAGGTCGTACAAGCTAAGGAGCGAGAGCTGCCCGAAAAAACCCGAGTAGTTTTGTCACAATTAAGAGTCGGATTCGTGTAGCTGTCTAAATTCGAATAGAGCCCGGATTGACAGCAGTGCGCAGACACACTACACCTCTTTTGCTCTAACATACGGAGTTAGATGAGGGAGGGATCCATATTGAATTTGAAATTAGAAGCAAAATTAGGTCGAAAATAATCTGATCGAACTCAGCAGTAGCTACAACAAGATGAAATACAAAGATTCAGGGGAAATATTTATAACCTACAACACTATGTTAGGGTAAGATTAGGTTAAAGGATGAGCTGTTGCTTAAATGTTCATCGTAAAATTCAGAGAAAAAGAGAACAAGAAAGAGAGGAATATAAAAACAAAAAATAGATAGAAATGATAGAAGTGATTTGTGATCCTCGAAGAGATTAGGCCACTTTAGTCTTCTGGCTAACGGAATATTAACTGCTGACTCAGTTTCGGAGAATGAAGAAAAGTCGTGCAGAATTTGCTTCCCCATAAGACTACCGAACAGAGTTGGACAGTGGAAAATAAGTGCTTTAACGTCTCAATTTTCTCTGCACCTGCAGTAAACGGTGTCGTCATCGCCCCATTTAGAAGTCATGGCCCTTATATTACAAAATTTTAGGCCTAATTACGCATTGCAACCCCTTCCATTTCGCCAGTTTTATAGAAATCTCCCAGAATAATGCTTATCACTCGGAAAAAGTGACACAAGGCTGGCTTCACCATCCACGACTTACCAATTAATCTGCGGATTCATTGTCAGAGATGTTGCAGAGGCCTGGAAAAGGTTAATAGACGACATAACTTTTTCTAGAGAATTCCTGTAATCCAAAACTACCATGGATTTAATGGTACATAAAACTATCAACACATATAGCTTGAATGAGCTCCTATAGAGCTCTTGTATGAGTAGAGTGCGATTAGGCCGCTTTTCGCACGTTCCTCGATATTCCTTCTCTAATTTAGTCTTTGGTTGAGGACAGTACCGAGATATTTAGCTTCCGAAGAAAAGCCCAACGTAACTTCATCATCCAGCATACGAGAAATATTGGTCTTAGATCCACAATGTTATGTATAGACCTCCCTATCCCGCAGAGCTGAATCAATTTAGGTATGTGTCTGTGCGTCCATTTGTCCAAGTAAAGTTTTAATCACGCTAATTGTCGCCATAATGGGCCGATCCTCACGAAATTTTGCTTTTTGAACCTTATCAATGCCTTCGCTCAATGAACTTTATCAATGCTTCTTTTGAAGGATGTGTTCCCTAGCTAGTGCCACCAAAATTTCGAATCGGACGGACAATTGACTCATTTATCATTTACATACAGTTTAAATCAACACCTCTCTTTCCCAGAGAGTTCTTGCATTAGTAGAGTGCGATTAGGCCGCTCTTCGAACGTTCCTCGATATTCCTCCTCCAATTTAATCTTTGGTTGAGGACAGTACCAAGATATTTAGCTTCCGAAGAAAAGCTCAACCTGACTCCATTCAGCATTCGTGAAATATTGGTTCTAGAAGCACAATGTTATCCGCTTTAGCTATTTAGCTCCGTCCGTCTGTCCATGTTAATTTGCAATCATGGTACCGATCGCCATTATGACCCGATCCTCACGAAATTTTGCATGGAGTTAGGGTTAGGTTTAGAGTAGGAGTTTTTGAAGATGATCGCAAAAATCATCGGATAATATTTACCGCTTAAAATAGATTAAAGCTTTTTTGTGAAGTTGTGTGGAATGCCTATCAGCACGACATAGGGCGTAAATATAGGGCAAATTCCACCGGCCAAAAAGCAAAATTAACATTTTTATGGGACTGTATGGTATTATTTCAAAAACGAAATCACCCGAAATAGTTTAGGACCTAAGGGGGGTTTCCAATATTTACAGTTTTAAATGTATCACATGGTCGGCCCCGCGTGGCTATAACCTTTGCTTACATGTTTTTACAAAAAAAATTGGAAAAAAATGTCTACATTTTTCTGTAGAAAAATTAAATTTTCGCTTTGAAGAAACTTTTCCAGAAGTTCTGAATATATTCTCAAGGCAACTGCTGTGTTCGCATTTTCAAAACAGAAAATTAGGAGGGATCTCATCCAAGATCTGTAAAGTACATTTTCACTCGCATTAAAAATCGGTTTACTCTATGTATTTGTTTTTGATCATCCAAGCCCGGTTTCCAGAAGCTCATTACAACCGTTTATTAACTAATAACTAATACTAGCAATATCTCGGTTCATACTATTTTTAAGCTTTCTAGTGGAACAAAAAAACATATTTTTTAAACTAAAAAAAAAATAAAAATTTGCAAATTAGCATTATTTTTAATGACAATTTGGCACTCTTGTTAAAAAATATAGGCCCGTTACAAAAAAAATACTTACCAAAGTTATAAAAAAATAATAGCATAAAAAATAAATATTTGCCAGTTTTTGGCCATCATTAAAATAGCTTCAACGGCACGAATTTGATATGGATTAATTATTTTCTATATATACATAAAAAATACCTAATGCTTGCCCCATTATTTTGTTTGTTTTATATAATTATTTTTTTGCAAAAATGAAAAGGCATTGTAACCAAAAATTGAAAGAAATTTAATAATATTGATAACAAATTGCTTTAAATGTTAACACACTACTGTTTATAAATACTAACACACCAAGCATACTTTAAACTACACAAAAACAACAAATAATAATTAAAAATATTAACAGAAAAACAAACTATATATTACTAATTAATAGTTATTTTTTATTTATTGTATGTATTACGAAATTAAGTTATTTGTCTTCGCATAATTACAAAAACAAACAAAAAACAACAACTACAATATTAAAATTAAATTAAAATAAAAGGTAAATAAAAATTCAATTTTATATTCTAAACTAAAAAGCAACGGTTCGTTTTGAATGTAATTGGATTGGAGAAAGGAGACAAAGTATCAAATAAACAAGAAATTATTTAGAAAGCATAGTCACAGTGGTATACGAATAATTCGCAACCTAAGGTACAACCTTCGCCCAAGATTCTGCTAAGAATCCACAATTGAAGATCTTTGAAAAAATATTTTTAAAAATCCAGGTTTATTGGTCAAACGGACCACGTTTGGTCATCCTAAATCCCGCAGTTCAATCAGGCGCAGGCTAATATAAGGTTTGGATGCGTTGTTGTCTTATTTTGTTAACACCCACTTCGGAGATCGATGGACCATTGTGTTCCACTTGGAAAAAGAACAACTAAAAAAGCTGTAAGTTCGGTCGGGCCGAACTTTTAACACCCTCCACCATTTGGTGCAAATTTGGCAATTTTCAAAAGAAAAAATAAAATCCGTTAAATTTTCTGTTAAAATCTTAAAAATACCGAATGCCTACACGACGACGTGGACCTGCATGTCATAAGTTATTACAATATTTAAATGCGAAACTTGAAGAAAAAACAGTTTATAATGTAGCTAAAATCATCAAAATACCGAATATGGGGGGTACCGTTATATGGGGGCTATACGAAGACGTGGACCTGCACAGAAAATTTTCTGGCATGGACTGAAGTATCCATTTCGAACTTCACACGCGAAATTTGAAACAATCCCGGTAAATAATGTCGCTAAAATCCTCAAAATATCAAATATCGGGGGGTACGGTATATGGGGGCTATACGAAGACATGGACCTACATGGTCCATTTTCTGTTTTATGCTGCAGTATCTATTACGAACTTCAAATACGAAATTTGAAACGATTCCGCTTAATAATGTCGTAAAAATCATCAAAATACCGAATATGGGGGGCACCGTTATATGGGGGCTATACGAAGACGTGGACCTGCACAGAAAATTTTCTGGCATGGACTGAAGTATCCATTTCGAACTTCACACGCGAAATTTGAAACAATCCCGGTAAATAATGTCGCTAAAATCCTCAAAATATCAAATATCGGGGGGTACGGTATATGGGGGCTATACGAAGACATGGACCTACATGGTCCATTTTCTGTTTTATGCTGCAGTATCTATTACGAACTTCAAATACGAAATTTGAAACGATTCCGCTTAATAATGTCGCTAAAATCATCAAAATACCGAATATCGGGGGAGTACCGTTATATGGGGGCTATACGAAGACGTGGACCTGCACAGATAATTTTCTGTCTTAGGCTGTAGTATCCATTTCGAACTTCAAATGCCAAATTTTAAACAATTCTGGTGAATAATGTCGCTAAAATCATCAAAATACCGAATATCGGGAGGTACCGTTATATGGGGGCTATATGATAACTTGGACCTACATGTCCCATTTACGAACTCAACCTGCCTACTGGCAAAATATACATGTGTGCAAAATTTTAGGCTTCTATCCCAATTTGTTCGAACGATAGCGTGATTACAACAGACAGACAGACCGACGGACATGGCTAAATCGTCTTAGAATTTTACGCTGATCAAGAATATATATAATTTGTTATGTCTGACATGAGTACTTCGAGGAGTTACAAACGGAATGACAAAATTAATATACCCTCCATAGTATGGTGGAGGGTATAAAAAGTAGGAAGAAAATAGGGAAGATATATAGCGGTAAAAGCCAACGTTCATATAATGAAAATTGATATTTTAGACTCTTTGAGAAGTTGATAAATCTTGTGCGACAGTGGTCAGTCATAATTCCAGAGGCAATTTTTATTACGGTTTTATTGGGAAAGAGTAGAAACAGACTGGGGAGCATAGTTGATTGCTATCGGACGTATACACAGGTTACAGAATCGTCTGCTACCAGTAGTATAAAGAAAAGGAATGGAATTCTGGTAGGCGATAATGATTTGACACTGTACATAATAAATGACAGCGTAACCCAACAGCAAAAAAATGTTGCGGAAGAGGACATGGATACCATGTCAATCCCTTACTCGACCTCTAGTCAGGGGTTGACAGTCGATCTGTGCACGCCTTGGTATCGTCATCGACAAATATTGGATTCAGACATTGATTCAGGATCGTTTGTTACCAGTAGTAGGAAGAAACGGACTGGAATTCTGGTAGGCGACAATGATTTGACACTGGACATAATAAATGACAATGTAACCACACAGCAGCTAGCAATCCAAAAAATTATTCCACCTTAAACTCCTAGAAAAGCCCCGCTGTCTGATGAGAAAGCGGACATGGATACTACATTAATCCCTTACTCGACCTATAGTCAGGGTTTGACAAACAATCTGAATAGTCTCAAGCTAACACTCTCAGGACAGGAGGCAATCGTGGTATGATCGTAGATGACAGAGAATCGTCTCCATTGATACAATAAAGATGACTTTCCCGTCATCAAGAGTGCCAATTGAGATGAGGCATAAAAGGCCTATGGTCGAACAATTGTTGTTGTTGTAGCAGTAGTACATGTGAGTGTTTGCATTCTGCTTATCTGGTTCCAGCTCCAATTCGGAAATCCAATTTAGAAATTCGGCTACTTTAATGGGCTGTAGCCAGAGATCTTCTAGAGTGAGTTGGGTAGGGTTGGCTATGCAAAGCTCACTGATAATGATGCAGCTTATCAAGACGAACCTGAAGTTCGTTAGGATGTTTGAGAGAACATATAATCTAACCCTATTCTAAGGGAATTGTCGATAAACAGGATCCAAAGATGGCGCACAGTGGGGTAAACAGTCGAGGCCCCAAGTAAGGAACCCCTGCTGGTGATATCGCAGGAGGCTGGCACAAAGAAGTCTTCAAAAATGGCCGCTGAGGTGTTAAAGGCGGACCTCAAAAAAGCCTGCAAGGAAGTAGAGGAAATCAAAGTCTTCTTAACTACCGAAACCAGTTCCCTGGTGGTCATCAGAGCAACGCGCTACAACGAAGGTGATGATGAAACAACGGGTGGGTAGGGCAGAGATAACAACAATAACGGAAGCCACATCGAGCGAACATAAGCATGTCTTGTCTGCTGTGTTGCCAATCTTATTGAAGGAAACAGCATCGATGGCAACCAAGTCCCCCTCTCAGCCAATGGCTGAGGAGCAGCAGCCCAATGCGAAGAAAATTATGACGACGCAGACGGTACAACAGCACGTCTCTTCGGTGGCGGCAAAGAAGAATAGAGAGAATGATAGCATACTAATGAGATAGCGAAACCTGATCCTGTCTACCCTGTCTCAGAAACCTTGCGGACCAAAACCAAAGCAGGATCATCAATCTGCTCAACGTATGGTATCGGATGACCCAAGAGTAGCGGTCATTGATCAGGCTGACTAAATTAAGTTCATCAGCCAAGTAGCCACGGGCAAGGCCGGAGAGGCATACCTAAGAAGTTGAGGGGGCTGTTCAGCTTTGGCTTACGAAATATTCACTTTCGTTTACCACAAAGCAAGTCGTAAAGTAGCTTGTAGTTGGTTCTCCTCATTCCACGCGAAGCTAGTAACATTTGTTGGGTATCTTCGATTTGATTGAGAATGAATTTAGTGTCTGTACAAATAGTGTAGATCTGCTGTCTTATACCTAGGCTCTTCCCTTTGGGATTTCGTACAGGAGTGGAGTTAAATTAGATCTCTCTTCTTCCGTTCCATCACAATTGTGCCTCGGGTCTGCATCAAGGTACTTCGCTTCCGAAGATTTCTTCAATTCAACTTCATACAGAATTGGTGATACAAAGGCAGTTGCTTTCCATGATAGGTAGTAACTCATGTGTTCTTCGATTTACTCGCGAAAGTTTACCTGGGGCTCCTTTGCTATGTTCTGAAAACGAAGACAAAATTTAGACAAACTAATCTCATAAAACATTACATCCAATAAATTAAAGAGGAGGTGCTCCAAAGCATTTATGATGAGAAGGCAGTAGAGAGATATGCGACATGCCATCGATGTCTAAACTGAATAAGGTGATCGTGAGTGAGGTGAGTACAAAACCATACTGTATTCATCGTATTGTACTGTTTCTATCCAACAGAAAAGAATCCGTTAAAACGCAGAGGGATCAAATAAAACAGATTATTGAAAAAATTATCTGCGAAATCTACATCCAAATTCGAGGGCAAAGCGGCTCAGAAGTCTACAATCCAGATTTATTGAGGGTCTGCATGGATCCATGGATGTCTATATTAAAATATAATCTTTTATACCTTCATGGAAATTTAATTAGGGTTTCTTGTGGGATATTCGGAGGTACATTTTTAAAGAAAATAGCTGCTATTAGATTGTCTGCCTCATAACTTTTGTACTATGTAAGATTACGGATAATTGTCTAGGTATATAATAGTCTCGAAATCTCGCATAAGTTTTCTACAAAATTATATATTTTATTCTTTGTCGGTATGTACTTACATAATGCTACAATTTCAATACAAAACGATAACTACATCTAAATACTAGGACTACTAGCTAAAACTACAGAATAGCGATTTCTTACATTTCAGTATCAGGCTTCATTTTTCTTTTTCATAATCTATTTCTTGCTAAATACCACAACGTCCCTTGCTCCCTTCATTCTTACAACTTCAATTTAATGCTATCCGTGGTCCAACGTTTAGTTTGAACATTTTTAATGGCATTATCACAATAGAATTGCTCCTCCGAACGATCAGGCAGAGATTCACGTATTTGCAATAGTTGGGGAACATCTTTGAGCGCAGTTAAAGCATCTATAATAGCTTTGGTGCATTTGACACGTTTTGCCAATTCTAATTTTTCACTGGCACTACTCATATTTGAGAGGAACATGTAAATTACCGAAGCGGGAGCACCCATATCATGTAGACGTATTACGGCCAATTCCAATGAGATGTTGATGTGAAATTGTTTCTGTTTAATGGGATGCCATGTGGGTACTTGTTCGAAAATATGTTGCAAATCGGCATAGGCTTGTGAGCGAGCCCGCTCATTGAGGGCAGTCCAATCGAATTGCCCTGCGGAAATATGTTGGTCATTACACAAACGGTAGGGTGAAATAATTTGTGTAATATCAGGATCCTTCCAATTGGTGTTCTTGGCACAGCAGGCATAAAGTACTTCAACGGGGCTGGAATTAACATCCACCATATTATTTAGAGAGTTTCTTTCGGACTCTACAAGCGCGAAGAGTTTCATTGCTGCATGTAATATTTGTTGGTAGAGTTGGCAGACACGATTATTGGCACAATGCGACATCATGGCTTGCAACTTAGCCTTACGTTCTGGCATCGATTGCAAACGTAAGACCGTTTGAAATTCCAAGAGCATAGCTTCATTGTATTTACCCAAATCTTTAAGCAAGTCAATAGCTTCATCCACATGACGTTGTGATAAATATTGCAAATAATGTTGAAGAGCTTTGGGGCGTTTTTTCAACATATCATGAAAATCTTTGCAATTTAGGGTCTTGTCTAAGAACAAAATTACGCTGAGCAATGAATCTCCGGGACAACCTATTTCAATGACTGCATCCAGAAGTTGTTGCTTGTCCTGCAAAGATTTAAACACCTCAAAGCTCACAATTTTCCCTTGCAATAGTTTACGAGCTGTGGCCATTGGCGATGGTGTATACAATGTATTTTGTATTTGCCTTCTAAGAAGCTTGAGTTCCTCTTCGGGTTTCATACCCTTGGGTATCATATTATCATCCATTGATTGTTCATCCAAAAGCAGCTTCAATTCTTCATCGGAAATCAAGGATTTAATTGACAGGTTATAGGAACTGGCTGTATTGTCGAAACTTGCTTCGGAAATTGTGTCATCATTGAGTATGCCCCCACCGCCGCCTTCAATGCTGCCACTATCCACATTTATGTCCAGGGATTTCAAATCAATGTCTTCATTGTCATCGTCAAAATTAAAAGCCCGACCGGAGCGATTCCAATAGCCTTCATCTTCCAAGTTGGAGCCCATTAGTTGTGTGATTGATGCAATTGCTTCGTTTGTGTTACCACTCTCTCACTCTCTTTGCTGATGTCACGTCAAATGCATATGATTTCTCGCAGTTGGCGAATGAACAGAATGACGGCGTCTGTTGCAATGGATAAAAAGATGATGTAAGGGCAGACGTAACGTAACGTTGTAGTATGGTATTCGTAATGACTATTGCACCTACTCAAATCCATGGAAATTCTCTGTGCTGAATAACGGTCAAATAGATACGTTAAATTAACGTCCTAGAGTAACTAATTGAAAGTTGTCATTTTATCACAAATCAACTGACATCCAACATAGACGTGAAAAATGGCGCGTACGAAAGGAAGCTCTCAACAGTTTTACAAGCTTGATTCATTTGTGAAGAAAATATTTGTCTCATTAAAAAATAAAGGAAAGTAATTAGATTTTCGATTAGAATTTAAAGAAAACCTATTTCGGTGATATTAAAGATTGAAAATAGTGTTTAAGAGATTGAAAAATCAAATAAATGTGTTGCAGTGTATCAATAAAAAATGGTGTACAGGAACCGGGGAGCAACGTTTTAGGGCAGCAGACAACAAATTAATTTTCTACGCAGATCGTGTAAGTTACCAAAATACATGTAAGTTTCACCAAAATACATTGCATTAATATATGTATCTCTAATTATAGATTTAAAAATATTGACATTTCGTTGCCACACATATTCCCATTTCCGGAGGACATCCATAGATAAGTCATCAAAAGATAATGCTAAAATACCAGAAAGACTCTGTGGAATTTGCAGAATTGCTCATTGATCTTCAAGTTAAGAATTTACTACATCGCGTTGCAGGTCTGAGTTCTAAAAACGGGGTCTTATTTTATTATGTCGAGCGTTATTAAAAATGAATTCGGGTAAATTTTTCGTTGTTCGGTACGCGTATCGGTAAATTGTATATTCGTGTGTCGTGGTTTTCGGTCGAACAATAGTTAACATTTCGCTTACATCATATTTTTAAGAACGTCGTTCATTTGGAAAACAATTTAAAGAATGCTAATAAAAAATTATTAACATATTGGGGGAACTATTTCGTAAACTCCAATATACCCGGAATTTGGCACAAGAATATGTATTCTTTGAAAATATATCTTCATCACGGGTTCCTAGTATTACATGGATTTCGGAGGTAAATTCTACATGTGTCCAATATTATTTAAAATTGTTAAAATACATTTTATTTACAGACTAGCAATTATCTGTCAATGCTCTATCGAGTTATAAGTTGTAGGTAAGCCAGCAGGATTTTGCGCCAGCTTTCGAAAGGATCTGCGTAATGGTAAGTGGTTAAACAATTTTTTATTCGATTCCCATGAAACATTGGTTACTGCTTATACCAGTAGCATTTTCTAATTGATGTTGCAAGTATTGAGATCTACCAAAAAATCTAAGTCGAGTGGTTCTATTTAACAACTTTCTAATGGAGTACAGTATTATTATGAATATTTATGATCAGGCGAATGCTCCTCTTCCATATTCAACGGTCGATTTGTACATCAGCTGAATATTCGGTCATCATTTAGTCATGTCATATTTTCCCTACCTTATTGTTAGATAATTGGTTTATTTCTTTAGGTGTCTATCTTTACTTTTTGACGGCGTTTATATTTTCCAAACTTATAATCGGTTCGAAATGGTACAATCACCTTTTCATACCGCCTATAAATGGAAGAAATTTGAAATCCATAATAAAAAAGGTAAACATTTTATTTACAACAAAGGAAGTCTACTTTAAGATTGGATCAAGATCGACTACACTGTTTTGTGTACCTCCACAAAGGTAAACTTTTTATAAAACAATCACGATTTTCGCGTGTAGGAAGGAAATCAACTTTTGTAATTGTATAATATCTCAATTTTAAGTATTTTTAACGATACCAACTTATTATTTCGGTATCTTTATGCAAGACGAATTTAATTTTCATTGAACCATGATCTTTTCTGCACTACTTTTTGGTAAACATTGTCATTTTCTTCGACTAACAAAACACATTTTTATAAAAACAAACAAATGAGATAAATTAAGTATTAAATTAACTTGTACCTTCCCATAAAGAGTCATCCTTTTTAATAATAAAAACTCTCAAAATTGAAGATTAAATGTCTGATTTCTTCAAATTTTTCACATACCAATATTTGTTAATTTTTTCTATTTCTCATTTAAAACGAATCTAGCATCCGATAAATTCCAAATTTGGTTCGTGTTAATATTTATTAGTATAGTATTTCAAATAACTCCAAATTTAAGTGGTTCACAACTGGTTTTGCTATGGACTGTATGTAGCTATATTTTCGCTCAATTAGGTCTGTCCAAACATAAATGCTTCTTTTTTCGTATTATCTGGTCTTTTTATATCTTCCACCATACCATGGAGTCTATATGAAGTTGTTCATTCCATTTGTAACTGCTTGAAATAACCATTTTAAACTCCACAAAGAATATATATTCCTGATCAGCAAACGATTCTATGTCGACCTAGGCATGTCCGTCTGTCTGTGGAAAGCATTGTAGCTTTCGAATGAAACGAAAAAGCTGGACAAAATTTTACTCAAATATATTTTTGGTCTGTAGAATTTTTGGTATATAGGTCTACGTTTTGGCAGAACACCTGTATAACTGTATAGATAGAAAAAAGATTTTTGGGTGTTTCAATCAGAATTCTAAGCCGAACTAGCTGCAAATTGAAAGCTTGTGTTCCTATTATGCATAAAATATCCCTGTAGAAAACTGCCCAAATTTTCGTATAGACCCTATGTAACTGTACCTCAAGATATTCAGAATTCTGATGATTTGTGTCATATTTTTCATCGTCACATTTTGGTATTTGGAGTTCGTAATAGCTTCCTATTACAGAATTTTTCATATAAACGTCCACGTCTTCGTATAATCCCTATAACAATAGTCGGTATTTAAGTGATATATGACATTTTTTTTTTCGCCAAAATTATTTCAAATTCGGTATTTGGGTAATGGGTACTACTACTTTCTATTACAGAAAATTACCGATAAGGGTCCACCTTTTCGTATATCCCCATATAATAGTACCTTCCGATATTCTGTATATTTATCTCAAAATTGGTAGTTGATGTTCGCAATAGGTATCGCCTTCTTTGGCATATAATTGGCTATACAGGGTGAGATGAAAAAACTGCAACCAATCTCACACTGCTGTCATTTCTAAGCCACTCGTACGACAGCTGTTAAAATTATTCCAGTGACAGCTCATTATAAGTTTACAAGCGTACAAAAGTATTTTGTTGAGAATTTTCCAGAAAAAAGTTATTCGTGATGGAATTCAAACGTGATAGTGGGATTTCTTTATATTTGGCTGGAAAATGCACAAGTGGCTATCGTTAGAGCACTCCACCATTTAAATGTGAATAAATCTTTTGTGTCTCGTACCCTCGCTCATTACAAAATGATGGTGTATTAAAGCCTTGGGCACGCAAACAATTTGGCCGCAGACCTTGGACATTCCAACAGGACATTTTCCGACATTTTTTGCTTTCATTCAATAAAATTTAAAAAAGTGTAGAAATTATGACGTTTGACTTTGTTACAGTTTTTTTATCTCACCCTGTATATTCATGATCAGCAAACGATTCTAAATTAACATCTTGTTGTATATAATTTTAAATGAGTCTGACAGGAAGCGGGTGTAGCCACAGAGTTGTATTTCTGTAGTTTTACGATGCCGTTCTAGCTTCTTATTGCACCATGGGTACTACTTCCTATTATAGAAAACTAAAAACATTTTATCTTAAAATTGGTAGTTAAAGTTCGCAATAGGTACCGCCTTCTCTGCCGTATAATTGGCTATACATGTCCACGTCTTCGTATAACCTCCGTGTGACTGTACAATACGATATTCAGCGCTTTTTTCAGCACAATTATTTTTGCAAGTTTCTTCCAAATGGTAATAAAAATTATCCCTGGCCGAGCTTAACTGAATTATTACCTGTTTCAGTATTTCGACTGTCAAAACTCCCCCAACATCCAATATAAATTAAAACACATTTTCGATAAGTTTTCTGTTAAGTTTGTTTTTTATTTATTCATTTGTTCATTTTTTGGAATTTTCAAGTTTTATTTGAAATATAACTTAGATTATTTTTTTTTGTCTTAAAAATTAGTTAGTGTAAAAAATATCATAATTAAATTGTATTTGTGAGAAGGAAACGAAAAAAAAACTATCTTAATATATTCTCAACGAGTTATCACTACAACAATATGGTCTTTTGTCTTTTAAATGAAATGAAAATTGATTTCAATGAAAATTTTCCATTTTTTTTTAAATATTACTACTTAAGACGAAAAAAATATATTATTCAGATAAAATATTATTACAAAATATTGATACTATTTTGTTGCTAAAGACCACTGCGACGTTTGACTCTGTTGTATTTGAATATATAAAAAAGATTTAAATATATTATTTTAATATTACGGCTAAATTTTAGTTCCTTTTTTTCACGTATTCAGCGTTTAATTTTGATGTGAGCATATTTAGCAAAATCGATCGTTTTGTCCTATTTCTTTGTTATTTTTGTAAAGGCTTTAAGCTTAGTTTAAATTAATACAAACAATTATTAGAATACATTTGATTTTTTGTCTTTTTGATATTTAGTATTTTTGCTATCGAGACGACACTTGTTGAAGCTTTCTAGGCATTTATAAATATTTGTTATAAATATATACAAAATACAACTAACATACCCGTACATTTTTAAGTACGTATAAATAAATACGTAACCATATAACATATATGTTATTTTGTAAATAATATGTATTACACAGCGCTACAAGAACATTTTGGCAACACAGGGAGAAAAATCAGGAAGTTTTGAAATTTTATACAACCATAAAATAGATAAGGAAGGTACTATATTATTTTTGAAATGGAAAATCCATAAACTGGGATAAGAATGTTTTGAAGTTTTGGATTCGAATCTTCGTTTTATACTAAAATCTATTGGACATTGACGCGTATAAAAATACTTATTTTTGAAGAAGTAATTTTCCACATAACTGCAGGAAATCTTGTATTTGCTAACAAAATTTATTGTAACACCATGTAACTCATCACCGGCATACATGCAATCAACCAACTACACTTTCATCATATCCACACAACACATTGGCCTCTGGTCAGATCCTTAGACAAAAGTATGTCATTCATTATTGTCTTCATTGTTTTTTGTTGTTGAATTTGTGACGGGTTCTGATATTGACAGCAAATCGATAATCGAACTAGCTGGTGGCAATGGATTCACTGGCGTTACATCATTGCTATTATTTGTTGTCGCTGGCTGTGACGGCTGGGTTCCAGCAGTTGCTGCCGCTGCTGCAGGGGCTGGTATAATGGCTGCAGCCACCACTGGCACAATTTCAGCAGCCGGTGCTGTACTCATTGATCGAGCAAATTTTGCTTTTGTCTTTCGAGTCGTTCTTTTTCACGTTCTGCTTTGAGCTTTTCAAAGTCATCTGTTTCGCCATCAGCATCAGCTGCAGCAATTAAATCGGCAGTGGATTTCATTTCCATATCCTCAACTATATGATTCGGGGGGGAAAAGTAAAAAATATGTTATTAAAATTGAAAATAAAAAAAAATGTTATCTAGTAGAGGGGTTTAGTTTAATAAAAGAATTGAACGATTTAGAACAATGGTTATATTGTAAGTAGGATCAACAACTAGATAGATTGAAAAACTAATTGAAAAGCTAGGAAAGAAAATTGTTTTGTGTGCAGTTTAAATTACACCGTGTGACGTGTGTAGCTCCATGTCTAGAGGGTGGGGTGGCAATGTTTTTAAGGAATAAGGATTTTACGAAAGATCAAACAAAAGTTAAAACTCAGCCTCTTCAGCTGGGCTTCTCGGCAATGTGATTTCAATACAAAAGCAATTATTTCTAGAAAATCATGCCAATCTATCATAACTGTGGTCCTTAATCCCACATTTACACCTGAAGTGATCTGTAGTTTATCTAAGCGCTTTTGAACTTATGAAAACTGATTTTGTACTCATCATAACCTGCATTATGTGGTACCGACATTTTTGTAAATTTTTCTAATAACCTTCAAAAAATACCGTACCACTGTGGCGGATAGGAAAGATAAATAAATATAATTGGGATTGGAACAAATTGATCGATCATCTTTCTAGGGAGTTTATAATCACTTCATCTGGTTTCTTGCAAATTGTAATTTTTCACGCTTGGAAAAGTTTAAAGAAAAATGTCAAAACATTTTTCTTCTGCGAAACCTCAGTTGTAACCTTTCAACTTTGCTAATGGAACTATGCAAGCCAATACTGAGAACAATAGAAATAGAAAATAACCCTTTCGATTTTAGCGACATTATTTACCGGAATCGTTTCAAATTTGGTATTTAATATTCATAATGGATGCTACAGCCTATGACAAAAATTGTTTGTGCAGGTCCATATCTTCGTATAGCCCCCATATAAAGGTACCTACCGATATTCGGTATTTTAATGATTTTAGGAACATTATTCATTATTATATCGGAATTATTTCAAATTTGGCATTTGAAGTTCGTAATAGATACTACAGCCTATGATAGAAAATTGTCTGTGCAGGCCCACGTCTTCGTAAAGCCACCATATAACGGTATCTCCCGATATTCGGTCTTTTGATGATTTTAGCGACATTATTCACCTTTTTTTAAGTTTCGCATTTGAATATTGTAATGGCTTATGAGAAAAGTTATCTATACAGGTCCATGTCATCGTATAGACCCTAATATAACAGCTACAATCGGTATTTTTAAGATTTTAACAGAATTTTTAAGGGATTTTATTGTTTTTGAGAATTGCCAATTTCGTTCCAAACGGTGGAGGATATTTCAAGTTCGCCCCGGCCGAATATATGGTATTTTTATGATTTTTTACGATGAATACATTCGGTATATTGATAATTTTAGCCACATTTGAAACTCATAATAAATTCAACCCTTGAAGCAGAATTATTGTCTATATAGGTTCACGTCGTAGTATAGTGTCCATATAACCGTACAAACCACTTTAGTTAATATTGAAGAGTTTCACTGCATTCTCCAAAAGATTTCACTGAAATTTTGCAGTTTAAAACTACTATAAAATCCTGATAAATTCGACCCGGCCGAACTTGGTTATACTCTCAGCCATAGGGCTATAGAGGGTATATATCATTTGATACGGCCAAAACGTCCGTTCGTCCGTCTGTCTGCTGGCTGGTGCGCACGATAACTCTCGAAGGGAGTATGCGATTTGGTCCAAACTTGGTACATTGTAATATTAATATCAAACTTAGATCGAGTTCAAAGATGGAAAATATCGGTCCACTCCTTCTGACACCGCACACAAAAAAGCACAAAATTACGAAAAAAAATATTTTACTGCACAGAAAGAGATAATTCGATTTGGCTCCAACTTTGCAAACCCTAATATTTGTATTAGTGCTAAGTCAGATGCGAAAATGGACAACTACGGTCCACTCAATCAAGTACCTCCTTCACAATGTTTCAAAATGTAGAATAATTATAACTCTTATAAAATGAGATGTAAAGTTCCGATTGTCTTCAAATTACACACATCACCAAGGTCTGATATGAAGATGGAATATATCGGTCCACTCCTTCAGTTACCTCTCCCACAAAGGTTCAACATTTTGAATATCCATGAAGCTCATAAAACCCGAAATTAACATCCGATTCTTTTCAGACTTGACAAATCATAATTTTTTATATTAACACAAAATCTGTTCTAAAGATGGTAGAGATAGGACCATTCCTTCTCGTATCTACCACACAAAGGATCAACGTTTTGAACAACCAAAACGATCATAAAATCCGAAATAAATATCCGGTTCTCTTCATGTTTCACACATTCCATTATTTCTACTACCACAAAATGGTATGTCGATCCTCTCCTTCTGGTACCTCTCCCACAAAAGGTCAACATTTTGAAGACCCGAAGACCGAAATTTACACCCGATTTCATTCAGACTTGGTACATATTTCCATCAATACAAGATCTGTTATAGAAATAGTAGATCGGACCTTTTCTTCTAGTAATTTTGCCCATACCAATATTTTTATCTGTATTAGATGACGTATGAAAATGGAAAAGTCGATCGTCCTTGACATTTATATATAAATACTGTCACGACGTACCAAGTTTGAAATGTATCGATCACTCTCTCCACCCAATATGAGATTCTGTAATTTTTTTCGTTTTCATAAAAATATTGAAATTTTGTGGGGGAGAATATGTTCAAAAGTATTTTAGGATGTGCGAAGTTTGAAGAAAAAACAATTATTTCTCGTTTTACGGAGTTAGTATCTTTTAAAATATAGACCTCTTTTGGTGAAGATGCAAGGAGTGGTGGATCAATGTTGTTAATTTTCGTATCTTCCATAAGTCTTACCTAAACGTGCCGGAATTGAACAATTTCGGATACACCCTTCACATAAACAAATTTTAAATTTAATTGGGGAATTACCGGAAGGAGTAGGTCAATATAAAGGATATCTGAATTCGATGTAATTTTGATAAAAATATTACGATGTTTGTCTTTGTCAAATCATATATACCCTCCGTAGCCATAATGTAGAGAATATTGTATCCCTACTCAATTTATATTCTTGTAATCCAGTAGTCGCAGTGTTATTGAAAGCTAAGCCAAGTCTGTGAAGCTTTTAGCATTTGTACATTAGTAGCTCCGGTGAGTTTCGTGTCTTCAGACATGCCGTACAGTACATTAGTGTAGGATTTACATATACGTTTGTTTTTGCAAGAGAAAGTTTCAATACAAAATTCAAGGGTTAGGAAGAGAACTTGTGTACATCTAGATTACATTAAAAAATTGTAAGATGATCTTGGTTATATCTAAGTGTACAACAACGAAACAACATGCCAACAACACAACAATAACAACATAACCAATATACGCCAAACTATCGGGAACAAAACAATACAACAAAATTTAAATATTAAATGGATATAAGAAACAAAGTTTACTTATTAAAAAATAGCACTAATGCATCTTAAAATAAATATTATATTTAATTGAGTTTCGATCTGTATGCAACAAATTTATTACTAAAATAATAACAAAAAATCTGGAATAAATATAATATTTTTTTTTCGAGAAGTATTTGAAATTATTCCAATATATCTTTATTACAATCTATTTAAAAAAAAAAAAAAAAAATAATAAATAAATCTATTTAAAAAAATAATATAATTTTGAAAATTAGTTTTTAAATTTTTTTTGTTTCTTATATCCATTTTCTACTTGTTTTTCTAATTAAATACATTTAACGAAACGTTTTTCTAGTTTAGTTTTTTTGTGTGGATGTTGTTAGAGAACTCAACGTTACCGGTTGATAAAAACCACCTGAACTGGGGCGTGGTGATTTCATGACGTCCTAATAATTGTGCTTTAAGAAATATTAATTTGTGATCGGTCATCATCATCATCATCATCGACATAATAATGGAATGAAATGATTGTAAATGAAAAAACACAACAAAAGAATGACCAAACATTGCCAAAAAAAAAATGATTGCTTGAATGAATTCATGATATGACCCCTAAAATAATCCCATGGCAATGTTTAGCTATCCTTGTTTCGCTATACAACTTACCTGTTTCCCGACTACCCCGTTCACGTTGGTCCCGATTCACTTGATCGAACAACGATTTAGTACTCTCACCCACCGGTGAACTTGGCACTGTACGAGCCATACTGGGACTCTCTGCAGCCGGGGCAGAGGTACTCAACAAAGCTTCCACACCACCCGGTGGAAAGAGATGTGGCTCGCCCGACGATTGTGTGCGCATATAGATTTTATTATTACTAGGAATATCCATGGGTTCCGTTTGATTCGGTTGACCTTGATAGAAGATATCTCGTACATTTGGACGATTATGATCCTGGCCACGATGTGATGTTATTGTTGTCTGTTCATCGACTTCTTCGATAACTTGATCGGTAATACGCATACTACCAATGGGTTTCGTGTTTGCCGCCGGCGCTAAACTAGCTGCACTGGCACTGCCAGGGAATTTATATTTTTGTGTTTCATCATTTGGTGTAATCGATCCTGGGCGGCTGTCATCACGACTCAGGAACCGCTTAAGAGCCGAAGCAACAGTGTTGACTCGTGACAGCGTGCCACTAAGACTAACCAAACTGGGTGACGAACCAGGCCGAGTTTTGCCATTGCCAGCGGTAAAATGTATGCCACTGGCATCATCAGCCTAAATGATGTATTGAGGAGGAGGAGATAAAGGTGATTTATTAGAATAGCTTTTAGAAATATTTGTTTTTCAAAGAAACTTAGTTAGGTTTTATTAGCTTTTCGTAGAGGCAGAAGAAAACTATTACCAAATAGATATTTGGGGTGTAAAAATTGTGAAAAACAAGGTGTGATATTAGTTTGTGATTGACGCCCTTTGTGAGAAAATTACAAAAAAAGTAAATATAAATGAGAAATTTGAAATTCTGTTGTGAAAAAATATAAATTACCTACTTAAGTTTTGCTTAATAGATGGATTAAGTTTAACAGTGCTTTTATCGATGATAAACCCTATGGAGGACTACTAATAAATGGTCTACTATACAATACCCTTAGAAGAAATTGAAAAGATATTCTTTCTGTAGAAGGCCTTGAAAGACTTTTATTTATAGTAGACCTTCAAAGGCCTTTACTTTACTGAGCCCTTAAATACATAAAAGACTTGCGGAAGATCCTTTATTTTATTCATACAAAAGGTATGGAAAATGTAGGAGATAAGGGATACCATTGACTAAATCTAGTCCTCGTCTCGGCTCCTTTCCAATTAATATGTACTTGACCATCACTTGTGTTGTCGAAATATTGACCCACAAGGGTGATTGAATGTTTTACAATCGGCTTTACAATTGCAGTTGTTGGACTCTTTTTCACCACTAATAATCAGTGGTGTTGCCAGTGGACCTCTAACGACCATCACCTCGAGGAAGCAAAATACAACATGTCTGGCCAAAACTATAAAGTCTGTTAGAAATTCTCTTTTAAAAATGCAGTTTTTTCCACCAGGGTGCCTTTTTACAGATAAATTTTCAACGCAAAGAAGTCGCAAGGTTAACGATCTACATACTATTTCGGAAGGCTTGCTTTTCCAACAAAAAGAGTGATATGCCTCGGGAAACTGTTTCGTTGAATTTGAATTAAAATACTTGCATCCGTATTAGCTAAGTGATTAGTTGATAGCTGCCTGACATTTGCTGGTCAACTGTTGAGTATCTGCAGCCCATTTTCCTTACGATACTATTTTAGAGGATAAACTACTTTGATTCGATCACATTCGATTATGCAATTAAAATTAAAGGCTTAGAAGCTTTCGGGCTATCCATGTTAATGTTCGTGTCCACTGCTAAAACTTATGATCAGCAAGTGGGTTAAGAGTTCATTGACGATTGGTTTGAAGAAAAAAATTTAAATCTATGCATCCTGTTAAAGTGCACTACTCGGGGAAGCAGGTCCAAGGACGTCTGTGATATTCAAAACAACGTCGGCGCTCCTGAATAGCGATGACAGATTCCCGAAGTCTTTTCCTCTATTTTTGGTCGTAAATTGTAAGAAATCCGTCATTTGTTAGGTCATTTTTGCGTATTGCATTTCAAATGACATCTTACGGAAATTCGCTTTCATATTCAGGCCCCTAGACGGCAACAATCATCTTAGGCTCGGAAAACAAAAGAGTTATTGTTGATAACTTCTCCATCCTCAACATGTGACTTTTTGGGGAGGTTTATGGTCTGGCGAGGGTCATATGGCCTTATTTTTTCGAAAATATGTTTAGATCGACGGTTACTGTAAATGGATCACACCGTAGAGATATCATGTTTTATGGTCGCATCTGGACAATGTTTACTTTTAAGACTTGTAAACGCCAGACTTTCTCTTTCCCGAAAATAGTCCAAATCTTAATCACTGATGGTACCTGTGCACGTTGGCTTAGCTTTTGTGGGAAAGCTCGACAAGAATATTTCTATAAACCCAATTTTGTTTTTTATACCCTACACCACATAGTGGTAAGGCATGTCGTATTTATTATCCGATTGAGACTAAATTTTTCAGACAATATTTGTTGGGCCCAAGGACAAACCCAAGTGAAATTGGCGATAATCGGATCAGATTTAGATATAGCTCCTATATATCTTTAACCGATTAAGGGTTAATTGTGCACCAAATGGCTAATATGACCTGTATTATGGTACATCCAACCGAATTCAGTCTACAAGCAAGTAAATAAAATTTGGAGAAAATCGGTTCAGATACAGCTATAGCTCCCATATATATGTTTCATCGAATTTGGGGTTTTAAGTCCCTCACATGAACTCCTGAAAAATAATATTTGGTACCGGACATCAGATATTCCTCGAAAATACCTCTGTCAAATTTTTTCGAGGTCGGTTCAGATTAGTATATAGCTCCCATATATATTTTTATCCGATATCAGGTTTATTGTGCACCAAATGACTAATATCAGCCCAAATGGACTGAACTTTGGCAATTACGACTGAATTCATCCTATAGGACCACTATAGGATGAATATAGCTATAGCTCCCATATTTATGTTTAATCTGATTTGGGGTTTAAAGTACCTCACAAGCGTAATATATATTCCACAACAATGATCTTTGGTACTAGATATCCCATATACATCTTCAACCGATTTCGGGTTAATCCTGCACCAAATGACCAATATCAGTCCAAAAGTCCTGAATTTTGGTACATCCGACCGAAATCAGTCTAGAAACAAGTACATCAAATTTGGAGTGAAATGGAGTGAATTTCGTGACGTACGTTTCCATTTTGTGCAACTCGCCTCCGATATATATTTCTCCAAGTGTTCTGATCCAAAGTCGGCTCTGAATATATGTTTTGCTATCTAGTTTTCAACAGATGATAAGATTGATTTTAAATTAATTTATTCGAAACCCACTAAATCTGTCATTCCTTACATACTTTTTGGGTTTGAATGACCGTGCTACCGCAAAAACGAGTTATGTTTTTGATATTTAATTATTATTAACATAAGCAGCTTGGCATCATGGCTAGACATATTAATGTCAAATTATAAAGGGAATTCGAGTGCGGCTGAATTCGAGTGCGGCTCTGACATATCTTTATGATATGTAACAAAATATGCCATGCGAATACTTCAGGCTGTTTATGTACTCTCACCTTTATTAAAATCTAGAGTTAGAAGTTGCAGAAGCGTAAATAGTCTAGGGCTTATAAATAGTCTTTTATAGTACAAGTAGAACTTTTAATTTAATTTAATAAAATTACATTTACTGTTGATTAGTTAATGATAATGTATTTTGAATCGGAAATGAGTAATGATTTTTTGTTAAATTTTATACAAATGAACAATGAATGGGAATTTTAGTTACAAACCAAATTGAATTTTCTTCTGCCTTACGAAGTAATAATCCAAAACCGTGTTCAAAAAATATAAGCAATAGATTATCCATTTTTTACCATTTTCAGTTCATTTCCAAAAGGTAATGAAAATATCAATAATTTTAATTTCAAATCGATTTTCTAGAATCACTGAAAATGGCAAAAATTGGGGGGTTTAAAAATAATAAATACAAAAGGTTATAAACGTGCTGTGCAGTAGTAACAATAATGTGCGTAGTGTGGGCGTAGGTTTTCTTAGGTGCAAAAGTGAGGTTAGATACATCGTGCCTGTGAATGGGAACTAAAAAAAGAGGGAAGAAGTGGGGGGGGGGGGAATTAAAGCGTGCAAACCATTAAAGCATTGTTCGGGAGCTTAAATAGAGGTAATAATTAGAATCAAATGTTAGTTAATTTTCCAATAATTAGGGGCAGTTTTGGAGACCCCAAAGTACCCAATTTCGGTTTTGGAAATCCCATATACTCTTTTTTAAATGTTAGTAAACAGGAAAAAGTTGAGAGTTTTTGTACCCACCAGCCAATTCTCTTGAAATAATTTTTTTTTACAAAATTTGTATGCATGGGAATATTTTTGTTGGGGGTTATTGAGGTGTACAAATACCAGTTAGATGGGAGAGTATGCTTGTTTTTTTTCGATTTTTTTGTTTGGGGTGGAAGGAGGGTACAAAAAAGAGAGAACTTTTTTTTTGGAAAGCACATATATATCTTGAATATGTTCTAATTTGTATTGGCCAATTCCAATTGTGTGTCTTTGAAATTTCCATGGACATTGCCAATTTGATTCTAACCTCCTCATCTTGATTGGGGAATTTATAGTGAACTGCCTGCACAGTTGTTGGGGAACCGGGATTTGATTCTGTTTGATTACCAACCATGTCATCAATGCGCACACTGGACATAACGGTGGGCATTGCAGCGGTTTTGGAGACCTCAATTTTGGCCGTTGAGGGTTCGGGATGTTCTTCACGGAAACGTTCCGAGGCAATGGTGTAGGGTAGTTCATTGGGAAAGACTTCGTCCCAGTATTGATCCTTCAACAGCTCAGGATGTTCGTGATGCATTTCGTCCACAATCAGGTAGGATACTTGCAGATTGCGATCCACCATCCAATTGACCTGACAATAGAAGAGTTGCATTACAAAACAATAATTAAAAATATCTTGACGGCACTCACCTCAAAATCATCATCATCCTCCCCAAAGGGATTTATCAACGACTCCGCCACTTTCAGCCATCCCATGTAGAAGAAAAATTGCAGCGTCGTAAAGACCGGAAAATACAAATCAACCTTATTCAAATAATTACTATTGGCCACAACCTTATTCTCAGTCCACTGCTGGCCCATGACCGAGCACAAAAAGAACGAATACACTGCCAATGTTACCACCTGGGTATAGACCAAAGGCACACTTATTGTGTCGTACGATATTAACAGGCCACACTGTCCCCGGAATTTATTCAGCTCATCGATTATCGTTTTCACCGCAAAATCGTCACGTATGCGGCCCTCTTTGCGTGCCCGTGTCACGATACTGGCAGCCCATACGATTGGTAACCAATGCTTTGAATGACGGGGAAAGCTCTTATTCATACTCTCAATAATGTTCTTTTCGTTCTCGTTCAACAGGCCAGCCTCCACAAAGTTCGACAAGTTGGGAAAACGTTTCTTCACACGTGGCGATATGTTCGTCATAACCATTGTCAGACAGAGACACACATAACGCATAATGGTACGACGCACCATACGACCACGTTCATCCTGTCCATGTATATTTGAACTGACAAAGACCGCGATGGGATCGGGCCAGGGTATGCTGGTGTATTGATTCCACCAACGTGTCATCACAATTGACACATAGAAGCCCAATACAAAGGACAGGGGTATGAGATCACTGTAATTGTAGCAATACTGTGCAATCGCCTCGAACATTCTGGAGAGAAGGAAGAAATATGAAAATTTAGCAAAAAATAATATTCTCTGAGAGAACCTTTTGTACTCACACTTTCTGTTCGGCATTCAGGACGAATCGATATATTATATTTAATAAATAGTAGAGGAAAAGAAAGGCCACCAAGTCCAGCCATACTAGTTTATAAATACTGCCTCGCCACCTGGAACAAAAAGAAAAATAATATGAAAATTTATTGAAAGAAGTTTTTTTTTGAAAAATTTCGAATTAAATTTCAAATGCCTACAGCAGAGGCTATAAAGAACTCCAAGTCAAGAGTGGAGGTCACTGAGGGCAGCTACTCTCCAGTAGAGACCGCTTAGAGCCGATACTCTACTGTTAAGGCCGCTAAAGCCTGCTACTCTTTCGTAAATGTCGCTAAGGTCAGTTGCTTGACAGTACAGTCGGCAAGGCGAAGCTATTCTTCAGCATTGGCCTCTCGAGTCAGCTACTCTACGGCCTCTGGACCCAGCTACTTTGCATTAGCGGCTTCTAGGTTCAGCTTATCTGCATTAGCGAACTCTAGAGTCAGCTGCTCTGCAACAGAGTCCTTTAGAGCAAGTTTCTCTACAATAGAGACCTCTAAAGTCAGCTACTCTGCATTAGCAACCTCCAGAGTCAGCTACTCTACAATAGCGTCCTTTAGAGCCAGCTACTTTAGAGCCTGCTTCTTCACAATAGCGGTCTCTAGAGTCAGCTGCTCCACAGAAGCCAACTATTCTACAGTAACGGCCTCTAGGGTCAGATATTCTACAATAACGGCCTTTAGATTCAGATACTCAACATTAGCAGCCTTTAGAACCAGCTGCTCTACAGTAGCGTCCTCTAGAGCCAGCTACTCCACAAAGGAGGCCGCAGAGGTAAACTATTCTACAGCAGTGGCCTCTGTGGCCAGCTACTCCACAGTAGGGGCTTTTAAAGGCTGATACTCTACAATAGCGGCCTCTAGAGCTAGCTACTCTACAATAGCAGCGGCTTAGAGCTTCTGCTGCTACCCCACAGTTAAGGCCGCTATTGCATGCTACTGTTTCGTAGAAGCCGTTAAGGCCAGCTGCTTTGCAGTGGATTGGGCAGGGGGAAGCTATTCTTCAGCAACTGCTTTACAGTAGCGGTCTATAAAGTCAGTTATTCTACCATAGCGGCCTCTAGAGATAGCTACTCTGCATTAGCGGTCTCCAGAGTCAGTTACTCTACAATAGGAGCCTCGAAAGTCAGCTACTCTCCACTAGGGGCCTCTTAGAGCTGCAACCCTACTGTAAAGGCCGCTATTGAATGCTACTATTTCGTAAAATCCGCTATGGCCCGCTGCTTTACAGTAGAAGCGACAAGGGGAAGCTATTCTTCAGTGGCGGCTGCTAAGCAAAGATGTTCTACAGTGGCGGCCTCTAGAGCCAGCTGCTCCATAGTAGCGGTCTCTAGAGCTAGCTGCTTTACATAACAGACCTCTAAGGCCAGCTATTTTTTATTAGTGACCTCGAGAGCCAGCCACTTTCAAGTTCTGGCCTCTAGAGTAAGTTACTCTACAACATCGGCTTCTCGAGTTACTCTGTATTAGCGGCCTCGAGAGTCAACTACTCCACAACCAGCTACTCTGGATTAGCAGCCTCTAGAGTCAGCTACTATACAAGAGGCCTTTAAGGTCTGCTACTCTACAATAGCGGCCTTTAGAGTCGGCTACTTTACAAAAGCGACCTCTAGAGCCAGTGGTCTCTATGACCAGCTACTCTACAGTAGATGCCTTTAAGCCCTGTTACTCTACAAGAGCGGCCTCTAGAGCCAGCTACTTTACATTAGCAGCCCATAGAGCAATCTACTCTAAAATAGCGGCCTTTAAGGCCAGCTACTCTAAAATAGCGGCCTCTAGAGCCAGCTAGTCTTCCTTAGCCGCCTCTAGGGCAATCTTCTCTACAATAGCGATCTCTAGAGCAATCTACTCTACAATAGCGGCTTCTAGACTCAACTACTCTGCATTAGCGGGATCTAAGGCCAGCTACTCTATATACGCAGCCTCTACAGTAGATGTCTCCAAGACCTGATACTCTAAAATAGCGCCTCAAGAGCAAGCTACTTTAGACTTGGGAAATCTAGGGCCAACTACTCTAAAGAAGCGACCACTAGAGCCAAAAACTCTACAGCCGTGGCCTTTGAGGCCAGCTACTCTATAGTAGAGGTCGCTATGGATAACTGCTCTACAGTAGCGGCTTCTATGGCCAACTAGTCTATAGTAGTGGCATCTAGGGTCAGATATTCTACAGTAGCGACCTCTAAGGCCTGTTAGTGTGCTGAAGTCGCATCTGCAGCTAGCTACTTCCTACAGTAGCGGCTTCTAGGGTCAGCTAGTCTACAGTTGTGACATTTAGGGCCAGGTATTCAACAGTAGCGACCTCTATGGTCTGTTAGTGTGCTGTAGTGGCCTCTGCAGCTAGCTACTTCCTACAGTAGCGGTTTCTAGGGCCAGCTAGTCTACAGTTGTGACATCTTGGGTCAGGTATTTTACAGTAGCGACCTCTACGGCCTGTTAGTGTGCTGTAGCGGCCGCTAAGAATAGATACTTAATAGGGGGAGCAGATCTACTGTTGAAGAAATTGAGACCAGCATCCATGTAATATTGGACTTTTGGCCCTGCTTTTCTATAAAAATGAAATCCGAGGCCAGCATCTGTCAGATGGTGTTCTCAGTAGTGGTTTCAACCCACCAAAAGCTGCTTCCCTTCAATTTTCATGATTTACTTTATCTAACTGACAATATTTTTGTTCTCACATGCAAATTATTTTCATCCGACTTCTGTACACTTTTGAATTATTACATGTTGAATTTTGTTTATTATACACATTTCAGAACTTTGTAATTTTACAGCTCGCAATTTCATTTGCAAATTTGTCATATTAATGATAGCAACTTTTGGAGATGACAAAGTGGCACATGTATGAATAGCTTCATGATGATGATGAAGGTGGTGACGAAATCAACATCAAAAAGTGCTATTATTAAATAGAATTACTATCTCCACTTGCGTGTGTTTTTTCCCTGTCTGTGTGATGGGTTGTCTCAAGGGTATTTTTTTCAGAACTGTAAACAGTCACTTTGGCATTGAAAGTTTTTCGTTGCTATTATCATAACTACAATGTATGAACTTGAAATTGAGGGATATGGAGGAAGATTTTTTCTTTTTGTAAGAAATAACAATTGTATGAGATTCTAGAAGAAAACAAAACAGTTAAAAGGAGAGCATTGGGTTATTTTATGAAATAACTTTTGTCTCTTCCCCTTATCACCAAACATACATCCAAGTATTTCACAATTGGCAAATTTCTGTTTCCTCTACAAAATGATTAACCCTATATCCAATTAAAATACATAAATCTACGCGTTTTTTATACGGTGTCAGGTGATGTCATTAACACGAAATATATATGTATATATATTTAATTTGTATTGTTGCGGTTGTTATTTGTAAGCCGCATTTATGTAGCCCGATGATCTGATCACTTTATCAAAGGTTCTAATTGCGGCAAATATTTAACGTTTTCATACAATGTACGGATGTGTTAATTTTTTTAAAAATAGAATTATGTATGTAAATTGCAATGATTATATATGTACACACACATAATATATGTACATACATCATGTTTGAAAGTAATGACCGCCCTAACAAACACGAGGTGATTTCAATTAGCTACTGTATTTGGGTTATTCAATTTACAATACATTTTTTTTTAAATAAATAAATCATGTGAGTGAAAATAAATTCCAAAATATTTTTCAGAATTTTGATTTTGAGCACAACTTTTTTTCTGAAAAAAATTAAGTATTTAAAATTTGAATGCTGTATGAGCAAATAGCCCAATAAAAGGTAATGCAAACAGACTACCAAACTGCATTACCAGTAGAACTCTTTGTTTTACCCCCAGCCATATGTCTAGAGAGGGTATTTTTTATTTGATACGGCCAAAAGTGCCTCATGGAAATAACGGTTTTAGACCCTAGGTCTCTTTGGACCAAATCAGTTTCAGAACATTTGGAGTCGATCTAGCGTTGACCGTCCGTCTGTCGGTCTGGCTGGCTGCAGCGCACGATAACTCTCGGAGGGAGTATCCGATTTGGTCCAAACTGTGTATCTCGTAATATTTTTATCAAACTTAGATCGAGTTCGGAAATGGGCAATATCCGTCCACTACATCTGGTACCTCCCTCACAAAAGTTCGAAATATTCAAAAATTTATTTAAAGAGAAAGGATAATCCGATTTTGCTCCAACTTTTCAAATACGAATATTTGCGTCAGTGCTAGGTCACGTGTGAAAATGGACAATATCGGTCCACTCCATCAAGTACCTCCCCCACAAAGGTTCAAACTTTTGAATAATTACACTCTTATAAAATGTGATTTAAGAGTCCGATTATCTTCAAACATCCCAATATTTCTATAACACCAAGATCCGTTGCTAAGATGGAGTATATCGGTCCACTCCTTCTGGTACATCTCCCACAAATGGTCGAAATTTAATAAAAATAATAATATTTTCTGCACAGAAAGAGAAACAATGATCCGCTTTGCAAATGCTAATATTTGCGTTAGTTCAAGGTTAGGTGTAAAAATGGATAATATCGGTCCACTGCATCAAGTGTCTCCCCCACAAAGGGCCAACATTTTGAATAATTACAACTTTTATAAAATGTGATGTATGAGACCGATTTTCTTCAAAGTAACCATGTCATAATATTTTTATTAACCCAAGGTTAGGTGTGAAGATGGAATATATCGGTCCACTCCTTCTGGTACCTCCCCCACAAAAGGTCAAAATTTTGAATATCCATGAAGCTCATAAAACACGAAATTACCATTCGATTCCATTCAGACTTGGCGCATGTTTCTATCAACACAAGATCTGTTATAAAGATGGTAGAGATCGGACCATTTCTTCTGGTACCTCCTCCACAAAGGGCCAATGTTTTGAATAACGAAAGCGATTATAAAGTCTGAATTAAACATCCGGCTTTCTTCACGTTTCACACATCACATTATTTATACTAACACAAGACCTGCGGTCCACTTCTCCTGGTACCTCCCCCACAGATGGTCAAATTTTGAATATCCATGAAGTTCATAACTCGCGGTGCCTCTTTGGTCAGCTACTCTACAGAAGGGGCTGCAAGGGCCA